TTCCTATTCAAATCTTCCAGTTCTTGGGCTATTTTATCATGCTCTTCTTTGCTTAAATTGTTTTGGGATAAGAGATTATTTAATTTACTAATTACTTCCTGCTTGGCTTGGTTGGGATTAGAATCAAACATTCTTTCTTTTAATTCTCTTATTTCATTTTTCTTGCTCTCTGCCATGTCTTTTCCTCCGTTAACTTTTTCAATTTGTTCGAGCAGACTTGCTAATTTTTGTGGGTCATTTTCTTCTCTGGCGACAGATAGAATATTATCTATTTTCTGATTTGTTGCTTCGCCTTTTTGTCTATTTTTTTCTGAGACTAATTGTCCGAAATCTTTTTCTTCCTTACCACTCCGTGATCGCTTATTAGTGTCAGAGGAATTATTGACTTCTTCTCTTTTACGCTTTTTGTCATTATTTCCTTGTTCTTGTTCTGCCTTGGCAATGAGTTGCTCCATTTTTTTTATTAATCTTTCCCTATTTCTTAACTCTATTTGGTTTTTTTGTTCACACTGTTTTCTATAACTTTCACTAATATAAGAGTCACTAGTGTCCCAAAAATCCTCTAAATTTCAATCTCCACTGGCTATTTCCCGCGAAAGCTGAACATCAATATTTTCATATTCTTTCTTTATTACCCTATTTTTTCTATCATTATAATTATCAAATATCTTAGCGGCTAATTCCTTATATTTACGAACAATTTCATGTTTTCCTTCCTTTAATTCTTGGAAAGTTGAGTAACCAAATCGGGCATCATCATTAGCATTTTTAGTTGGAGTGCTTTTTTGGTTCTGTTTTTCGATTTCGGATAGCAAAGCCTCCGATGGGAAAATATACCGGGAAACTTGGTAAGCTTGAGCATTACCTTGATTGCCGTGGGTAAAGGACACAATTTCATTTTTCAAAGTATTAGCCTTATTTCAGTCAACATTCTCTTTTTTCAATTCAATTTCTCATTTATTTAGTTTTCCAACGATTTTGTGAAACTCTTCAGTCTCTTTGCTACCAAAAGCAGCAATCGCTTTTCCCAAAAATTCTTTAATTAAATTGTACAACAATTTAACAATTTACAAATAAATAAATATGTAAATTTATTATGAGAAAAATATTATCTAATAATTCATTTACTTCAAGCCGCATAACATCATGTGTAATATTTGAGAAAATGGGAGTAAAAAATAAATATTAATGTTTTTTCGCTTAAAGGCTCCGGACTGGATTTTAGTTTTTATTCAGTCTTCATAATATTAACTATGGGGCGTACTGTAGAAACAAATTGTTTCACATCATAAAATTGACTTTACAAAATATCGTCAATAAACCAAAATCGAAGGAAACAAAACCAATAACAATGCTTTGCTTACTTAAGAAAAATTTCCTTGGTTGAACAGTATCAGCATTAATTCAATCTCGACAAGAAAGTAAAAGGTCCGATAATTTTCCATTTCGTAGGTAGAAGTAGTAGCAATAAGAATAAACTTTGATAAACCAATCTCCTTATTAAATAATTTTAGTATTTTGTTGCCTCCAAGATTGGTTTTTGCAAATCCTTTAAGGAAATTCTTTATTGAAGACTTTGTGATTGCGTTTATATTTACTCATTTACCTATTTCTTTATTTCGCTCTATTTCTCGATTGAATTTTTTGAATAAACATATGAGAGATCTTTGACTTTATCCTTGCTTTACTACATTGCTACAGTCAACCCCCTCTAAGTGAACGCTTTCATTCATTCCCCAAGCTCGGGAATTAGAGATAAGTGCACACCCCCTTCCCCCTGCACCGCACGGCTTTTTCCATTCCCATCTATATATAAAACTCCCTCTCTAAAGTGCACTCCCGTGACTTTCACGTGATTGTCGTCCAATAAAAATTGAGCGACGTTATTAAATTAAAATTAAAGAATTGATTTTTTGTAAGAGATGATAAAGAATTAAATTTTATACTTAGTAAATGATAATAAAGAATATAAAGAATTAAATTTATTATTAGTAAAAGGTAAAGAATTAAATTTATTGGTATGACAGAATTATTTTGTAAGAGGTGGATAAAGAATTGTTCATTTTTTATTAAGTGACAGGGAAATAAAGAATTCTTTCTTTTTAATAGATACAAAGGTCATTAAAACAAAAGTACAAGAATGCAGACAAAGAAGCTTATTTAGTTGAAATTATTATAAATAAGTCATGAATCAAGAATCTTATTTAATAACTAAACTCTTGTAACCAACTTTAAAAATAAAACTTCTATTATAAATTAACC